ATGGTGGCCGTGGAGGTCTTCTCCATCTTGGTCTCCAGTGCAGGGCTCCTGGGCTGCATCTTTGCCCCCAAGTGCTACACTATTCTGATAAGGCCTGATAAGAACTCATTGAAAGATTTAAAGAGCAGAAAATTTTCTAGAGGAAATGAGGCCTGATCTCATAAGTCCATTGTATATTTTAGGGTTTTAATATAAATACCCTGATTTTGCATACTAATATGATAATGTAATGAAAACTGATTTCACTTTTTATATCTATTATATTATAAAATTAAAAATAAATGCATAAATTAGAAAACTCTGTCAAGTTATTTTAAAGTAATGCAGGTAGAAGAAAAATAATATGAAAAGAGGAAGGAAGTGCTAGTTCGAGAATAGATTTCTCTTTAGTATCCACACATACAGCCACTTAATTTAAGGACTTGTGCCAGAATGATCAAGGCACAGAACCAGAAAATGAAACAGGTGGAGGGGTGAGTGGTTTAAATTAGTGAAGAATTGGGAGTATGGGAAATTCTAATCTTCTCTATAATGAGACTCACTCCTTTGTAAATCATGAAGCCCATTTGTATTACAAGGATTCTGCAGACCCAGAAGTGATAGTAGACATAACAGAAAAGTGCCTTCCATAGGTTGCACGGGGATTATCAATGGCCAACATCATTTCTATCCCTTCTTAATTAAACTTCAAATAGAACCAGGATGGAATCATAGAGCCCAATGAGAAGGAAGTCTGCAACATGTTTCTCCACATTGTCTCTCTTCTATCTTAACTACTTTTTTCTTTTTCCTTCTTTTTCTTAAGAGTTCTGAAGTGACCAGTTATGCTAAACTAGGGAAACTCTGGTAGACATCGAATACATAAAGACTTCTTTTAAGACATCTTTAATAAGACCCTCAAAGTATAGGCAATCATTAAAAAAAATATACAAATTGGATTACATAAGGTGAAAAACCTACACAGAAAAAAAAAATTAGAGTGAATTGATCACCTTAGAATGTGAGACTGTATTTCTAAACTTTGCCTAGATAAGAGATTGATAACTTAAATCTTTGTTTCTTGCACAGAGTTTCTCCAGGGTTTTAAAAATTACACATGTAGTTCTTGTTGATTGTGACATCAACTGTCTCTATCTTCTCTATATCCCTCTTAAAAGTTCGATACAATCACCCTCAGGCTCTACTGGACACAAGAATGCTGTCTGATAATGAGGTGATCTCCAAAGACTCGCTGAGCCATGATGAAATCGTAAAGCCCAACTGAGAAGGAAAGTCTAAAACATGTTTTTCCAGATTGTGTTATCAACATGGGGGTGACAGGTGCAACGCTCCAGGGTAGGGGGATTCCCCAGAGCTCCTGGATGGGACTGAAGTGAAGCAGAGAACAGATAGGGAAGCCAGAGCTCCTCTCATCACAGTGGCACTAAGAGAAAGGTCTAAGCACTGTGAGGTCCCTTGTAAATGCCATCCTTTGGCTCCCACCTGTGCCCTTGTCTGGCACGCCAGTCTGTCATATATGCATTCTATAGACTGATGGTCTACAGTGAAAGTGGGGATCTGCTGTGCCCTACAGAGAGATAGATTCTTCCTGGAAGGGGCTCATTCTTTACATCTAATCCACATCCCTCCGTTCCTCAGCTCAGGGTTTTGTCTCTGTTTTTGGCAGGCAGTGACATGTCATTCTATCAAATTTGCCTCTTGCTAGTCCTGCAGACATTACACACTGCATGTGAGGTGACATTTCAGACTTGTATGGGATACGATAGGCCAACTGTCTACAGAGATGGGGACCTGGTCCTGGGTGGGTTTTTCCCTCTTTACACATGGGTTTCAGAAGAATGGATCATCCGGCTATCTTTTCTGACCCAGCCCATGCTAGAAGAGAAATTCGAATGGTAAGTGACATGTGGGTGACATGTTGTTGCATATCAGTTTATAACTGAGAACATAATTATAACTGTGATTTTCAAGTGTATGTGAGTGTTTCTAACCGAGCCTGGGGATTTGGAAAAGTGAACATAGATATGGCAAATATGCAGATCAATATATTATGAATTTTTCTACCCGTTTTTTCATCCCCTATGTTTCTACTAGCTTTTTTTTTTTTACATTTTTCTCCTATCCCTTAATGACAGAAGAAAGAAATCAATATGTTTGTTGTCCATCTTATCAGCTTCATCCCCATGATAAGACTTTGGGAGGCTTGAATGAGTAGGAGTACTGAGCCTCAGTCCCCTCACCTGTTGTGTAAACTGACTGAGGGAGTCACACAAGCATATCAGATACACTGGCCCAATGGCATGAAGCAAATGGTAGGATGAAGGAGATGACCCTGGGTGCCCACTTCTGGCAAAGGCATTGTTGAAATATGACAAGTACAGCAGGTGGGGGTGTGAGATCCATCAGTGTAAACAGACCACGTTCTGTGAAAACTCAGCTGCTGAATCCCGTCAGCTTGAGGCATTTGGCTTTGTGATTCCGAGGGTCAGAAGAGACAAGGAGCTCCTCTTCCAGAAAGGGATGACATCTTTTTCTTTCATCCTGATTTCTAACATCTCCATGAAATATGCAGGACCTGTATGGAACTGGGGCTTTATGCAACAATCTGGCACACATCTGTCAAAGCAGGATGATTCTCTTTTTAAAACTTTTAAATTTAGTTTTATTTATTATTTTAAAATATGTGCTATAGAGGGAAAGTAACACTGAAAATATGTGTTATTTATTATTTTAAAACATGTGTTTATTATTTTAAAATATGTGTTACAGAGGGAAAGTGAGAAAGCAAGTCACCAGGTCTAGCGTTCAAACTGTGGTCGATTCCACACCCAAGAAATACAAAAAACACCACATACAATCAACTCAGGTTGTTCTCCAAGGCACGCCATAGTCACACTGACCAAAACCACAGATAGAGACAAGATATAAAATTTGTTATGAGAGAAACATCAAGTTACTTTCAAAGGATATCCCATCAGGTTAGCATCAGACCTCTCGTCAGAAACAAAGCAAGCATGGAATGAGTGGGAAAATGTATTCAAAGTATTAAGAGAAAAACCATTTCAAACAAGAATACTAGATCTGCCAAGATTATCCTTCATATGGGTAGCAAATCCTGCAACATTCTCAGATAAACAAAACCTGAAAGAATTTACCAACACCAGACCAGCTCTTCAAGAAGTTCTGAAGGGACTCCTATACCAGGAAAACTAAAGACTAACAGACAGAAATAAGAGAACAAAAAAATGACCAAGAAAAGGGCCAAATGAATGATAGGGACAAGTTCAAAAATATAAATAATAGTGTTGAATGTTAACTGCAGGATTTAAATGGAAAGATCAGACCATAGTAACACTGAAAATTCAGCAACAGAGAGATGACCTGAGACTGAGCTGGTGAAATAGAATTCTATGACCTTTATCTGAAACATTACTGATTATCTTCTATGCTTTTTCTGCCAGATTGAAGGATATGGGTTTTCTTTTGGGTTGTTGATAAGTTCAGCAACTTGTTAGCAAATTGTGTTTTGGTTGAAACAGAAACTTTTCTCCCTTCCAGACCCCCCTTTCAATAGGAAACTATTAGTGAGCATCCATATTTTGAGGCAGAATGGTTTTGGGCATAAGTTCAATAACACAATAGTATCTGTTGCCTTGCATCAGAAATTGAATTCTTACGAGGCTTTGTGCAAATAACCGACCAAATTGAGGTTAACCTAATTGGTTAGGCAAATAAGTTAGTCTATACCTCCCTTCAGTAGAAGAGAATGGAGAGAGCAAAAACATTCCAGCAGAAAATAACAGTGCACTTGTCACTAGATTGTAGCTTTGTCCGTATTTTTAGTTTAAGATCTTTTGTGGATCAATAAAATGTCAAAAAATGTGTTTTATGTAAGGGAGGGGGGAAAGAAGAAAAAAAAAACAAGTAAAAGTGTGCCTAATTGAGAAATAAACTAGAAGCTGTTTGTGGATGCTAATGTTTCTACTAATATTTTTGTCTTCACTGACACACACGTTATTTGTGCTGGAAAAAGAAATGCCGTACACTGTGAAGACATGTGATTAAATGTAAATTAATAAAAATAGTAAAAAGAAAAACACACCCAGTTTCTATGCGCATACCTTGCTATGTGACCTAGGATAGAAATAAGATGACATTTTGGGATAACCCACATTCTTCCAAAAGACTGATGAACATAATTGTAAACCTGGCATGTAGCCAATAGTTTGAGTGTTGTATATTTCGGTATTGCTAAGAGAGTGAATTACTAATGTTTTCACCACAGAACATAAAATATTGGAGGTGATAGTTATAATACTTTAATTTCATCATTTCAAATTTTATTAAAAAATTTTTAACATTGAGTGAGCTGGCAGTGGGGTGTTTAAAGTGCTG